AAATTGATATAGAAGTATAAAAAAACATAAGTTTCCAAAAAATATTCTATATCGGTTCTTTAAGAGAAATTGATATAGAAATATAAAAGTAAATGTAGAAAATATAGATGAATATATATATAAAAAAAATATTTAAAAGAAACAAAATAAAAAAAGCACATATATAGAAATATTGTTTCAAATCACACAATATACAAATATATGGAAATTTCATCAAAAAAGAATATATTGTCACTCTCTACGTATAATTACATACCGAATTTTCAATTTCTTGCATAGTGACACTTAGAAAGTCATGTTCTTTATGGTCACCAAATATTTAAAAAAATATTTATAAGTTAAAAATTTGAAACCGAAAGATCCCTTGATTAGGAAAACTATATAAAGCTTTAAACTTTTAAACTGCTCTCCTCTAAAATTTGCGTTTCGTAGTTACGGGATTATACGAAGTGACAATATATTGAAAAATCAGTGCGATTACTACTCATGCAGAAAATAATTTATTCTTCTCAAAAATTTTCATGGTGGAGATATGAAACAAGATCGATTATTTAATTAAAAATTATTAGTTTTCCTTTATACATGCTCAAATTCCATATCTAGGTATACATAATAATTTTGTATGAGATTGAGATGATCTCATATATGATTGTAACTAATTAAACATCAGATACAGAATATGTCCATATATAAAGGATTTTTTTTCAGACTATTATAAAAGAAACCGTTTCAGAATAATTTAATTAACTTACTGTATTTAAAATTTATTAGGCATATAACTCTAAAAAGTGTAATTTACTTGTGTGTAAATTATAATACAAATTTAAAGACAATATATATAATAAAGCAACCTTTCTAACAGTGAGGTGCTTTTTATGTGAGAAGAATAAATTATTTATAATAACGTACCGTTACGCGTAGTCCCTCGTCGTCCATCGATGTATCTTCAACTCCAGTCCCACGTAGGAATCAGCAACCTACCTTTACTGTCCCACGATGCGAAGGGTGCGCGCCCACGACGAGATGACCGTAGTCCCACGACGCGGGACCACGTTTAAACTTACCGGTGGCCCCGTTGCTGTAATATGACGCGAAAACCGCGAAATCGCGAATGACTCTACTTTTATTTTTAAAAAAGTTGATAGATGATAGAAAAGTGAAAACAAAATCTCGAAAAAAACGCGGAAAATAACGTTATTTTAAAAGATCAAATATAAGAATAATAAAAATGAAGTAAAAAGTTAAGTGAACAATAATATTTTTATAAGAATAATACAAATAAATGAAAAAGTTAAATGAACAATAAATAATATTTTTATAAGAATAATAAAATTATAAAGGAAAAAGTTAAATGAAAAAATTTTATTCGCGACTCTATACTTTATGTTTAAATATTAAAGAATATTAAATATTAAATATTAAAAAATGTGTTGAGGTGTGAGAGAGGGTGAAGGAGAGTAAATAAAAAGGAAAGAAGAGAGAATAAATTAGGGAATCTTACTTTTCAATATTCTCTTGTTTTTTTTTTTTTTTTT